ATATCCAAGCAACCCAACAACTCAAAATACCAAAACATAATTTGTATAACCAGAAATGAAGCAAAAATGTGCAGTGCATACCTATCAGCTTGGAGGTATCATTTCATTTCTGACATGAACTTCTCATACTCTGCATCTGCACCGTAAGTTGTCCTTTCCGCAGAAGAAGCATGAGGGGGAACCGGAGCACTCGTGGCCCATGGAACGTTACCAATGTTCTGAGATTGGTCCGCAGTTGATCCAGGTACATGGGCGGGGGGAGGCGGAGGTGGTGGAGCTGCATTGTAGTAAGATGAGTAACCATACGAAGCAGCAGGATAAGTGTGTTGGCCGTTTGGTGGCATTGGTGCTGAGGAGCCACCATACATATTAGATTGTAGGGATTGGTTAGAGATATTGTGTTCGGATTGAACTCCTGGAGGGGGATAATTCTGTTGTGCTTCACTTGAAGTCACCGGTTGAGGTGGTGCCCCAGGTGGAGGAGGGTATCGTGCACCATAAGGAGCCATATGTTGACCCGGCATGGGAGGAGGATACATGGTTGAACCAGGGGGATGTGGAGGAGGTGGAGCATAAGGAGCATAAGGAGGAGGAACAGGGGGTCCCCAAGGAACAGGAGTACCCACGTAGCTAGTAGGTGGAGCATTCCCAAGAGGGCCACCTGCGGTAAACTGCTGGGATGGATAGGCACCAACAGGCTGGGGAACCGGGTATGTGGGCAGTGCCGATGCTGGAGGTCCAGGAGGCGCAGCAGGCTGAGGAGGCTTGCCAGCAACTCTGACAGCAATGGTTCGCTGGTCTAGGCGATAACCATTCATGCTTGCAATTGCATTATTAGCCATTTGAACATCTCCGTACTTCACAAAACCATAACCTTTACTCGCTCCAGTAACTCGGTCCTTGATAACTTTGGCCATCACAATATCACCAAATGGTGAAAACAATCGGATCAAACCATCATCATCAAAAGTAGGCGGCAAGTATCCAATGTACAAGTTTGTCTCGTCATAGTCCTTGACTGGCTTGACTCCAATTGATCCCAAGCCTGGATGTGATGATGCACTAGCACTGCCAGTACTGTTAGCCCAAGGAGGATTGCTTGATGTACTGTTGCCTGGGCCAAGTGCCAATGTAGCGGTCTGCTTAGTTGCAGATTCAGGAACAGTCCCCCCTAACTCAGCTAAGAAGTTCTGATACTCATCATCCATTTTCTTCCCAGTTGTACCCTTCACTGGGCAATCAATGGTTGGATGCCCACCATCACCACATATCTTACAAAGAACATCGCTCTTGAAGGTTGAAGTACGTGATGGACAAGCATACTGCCGGTGCCCCGGCTCCCCACACAACCTACAATACTCCTCATCCCTTATTGTCCCGTTCAATGACGCAAGTTCCCTAAGTTGTTGCCTCTTATGCTCATTCAACACCTCATCGACAGGCTGCAAGAGTTTCTCCACCATTCCAGCCGCGGCATCAAGAGCGTCTTGTGTATCGGCCTCAACCAAAACATGCAAGTCCTCATTCTCGGAAGGGTCAGGTTTCAAATCCCTCTTCTGTTGTGACCTACCCTCTTTCACCGAACCTTTACCCCTAATGACAATTTTTGCACCAGTTTCTTTCTCCATCCTCTTCTGGGTATTACCCCTCGGCCCAATGATAAGTCCGATAAAATTGTATCCGGGATATTCCTTCATCGGTATGTAAAGCTTCTTGTGAAGCTTGGGTGGCCTGTAATCAGCCGGGGGCTTAAATGCTGGGTTCCTCTTAATAATCTGGGCAATAATTTCCTGTCTCTCTTTGTTCAACCTCTCACGGGCACGGAACTCTCTAGTATTAATCCTAATTCCCATGTTATCATATATCGGTTCCGGCGAAGGAGACCTGGCCCCTTCGGGACGATCATCTAAGGGCAACCCCGATGACAGCATTCGACTAATCTCAAGCAACCTACTATTCAAAGCTTGAATTTCTGGATCAAACTCAATACCTCCCATGAAATCCGGCAGCTGAATCGCCTGCTTCGGCTCCTCATCCGCCCACCGCGACTTCCTCTTCCTCGTGCCACTGCCTGTCTCGCCACCACCACTCTGATTGTCCGACTCGGGCTGAGGATCCCACCGGCTGCGGCGGCGGCGCCTGCTAGTCGTATCCTCCTCCCCGCCCGAGCCATCCTTTTCGTTGCCGCTAGTGGTATTGGTCAATCCGTTTTCCGACAACAGCGGCTTCATAATAGCAAGCGCCTTGCAGGCGTTAGTCGAATTACCGTTCTCAGCAGCGGTCTTGGGATTCGTGGAGGAGTCTTGAGCATAGGAAGCTAGGGTTTCGGTGGGCGGCGGTTGAGACGGGCCATTAGAATCTGAGGCTAGGGTTTCTGCAGGGGGAGGAGGATTGAAATCGGAATGAGGAGGGTGAGGATCTAGGGATTCGATTGGAGGAGGAAGGTTAGGGTTTGATTGGAGAGCAGCCTCCATGGATTTGAGATTGGAGAAGCTTACAGATGTGTTAAAAGCGAGCGGGACGACGCGCCTCTGACAATTTATAGGAGGATTGGGCCAATTGTAAATGGGTTAAAGTAACAACCAAGGTCCAGCCCATCCCGTTATCCGGTTCTGTCTTCGGACGAGAACTCTCTCGGTCCGTTTTATGATCGGATATAGTTTTGGACATACGTGAAACACACCGTAAGTTTTTTTTTTTTTTTAATACTACGTAATATTAATGTTATTGAAAATGAATAGTTGAGATTAAAAATAAATAATTTAAATAATTTTATTAAAACCACGTAGTACCCAAGCTGGGCCCCATACATTTTCTACTTCTATAAGACTACACGATATGTTCTAATAATTTGTGAAGCAATGTTATTTACACATACAAAATTTCGATGACACATTTTTTTTAATAGAGGTGTGTTCTCTGTAATCTCTGTTAGACATGCTCTTACAATTTGTGAGTAATGCTATAAATTACATTTTGCATCCTCAAATTTGAGTGTAATTGTAATTGCAAACTCATATCTCATATTTAAAACATTGCAATGTCGTACACAAACTTACGCTTTTATTGTAATTTCATACATCCGTTAATTACTATGTCTATTTCACCGTTAATTACGATTTTATTGAAACAATTGTTAGTGGTTGTTTAATGCATGTTTATATGATATAGCAAAAAAGGGGATCACTGATGATTTGATCAATTGAAACGAATGTAATGTTTTCATTAGACGTTGTAATATCGGATGAGTGGATGTAATGTTTTCAAAGGGGATCAGTGAACGTTGTAATATTAGAATGGATGATTTAAAGATTTGATAAACTGAAATTTATGCCAGCTATTTTATTGCAGAAAGAGGCCGGCTGTTTAAGAAGTATCCTCGTCGGAGTTGGATAGTTCTCTCTCTCTCTCAATTGCAAACCCAGACCAAGTAAGCCATCACTCTTATCGTAAGAAAAGCAATTAGACACGGTCAAACTCATTCACAATCTGACGTACCTACCAAAGTCATTTGTCACCCCCAACATACCGGGGTGTAGCAAGTTGCCTATAGAAGCATGCTTCCCCTTGAACTTGCAACCAAAGTTCGAATTCTCCTTTCCACAGTTGAGATTAGCTTAGAGAATTGCTCGAATGAGAAAATCTAGATGTAGACTCAAACTCAAGCCCCATAATGATCATGAAAAGTATGATTGTGCTGTAAGCACTTGTTCCAATAATATTAATCTTTTTTACCATAACATCTCACCTACTGAAACGTGCGTCGCTTTTAAAGGGATTAATAATTTCATCCAAATCAGCTGTTCACCTTAAAGATAATCACTTTTTTGGTTTAGATAAAATTATTTTATACTAAGATTTCAATACCTTGAATAAAAAAAAAAAAGCAGTTTGAGGGAAAGCATAATTATAGGGGTGTGATATCCACACACCCTATTTTACTTCTTACACACCTCTTGAAAATTTTCGGCCGTCCGATCGGATGAATTGAAGAAGATCAACGGACATAAATTATCAAAAGGTGTGTGAGAAGTAAAATATAATATGTGGATAGCACATCTCTAATTATATACGGCATCTTTCAATTAGTAGTTTCCATACATGGACGAACTAGAAAAAGCAATAAATTTGGTGGGGAAGTAAATTGAGTAATGACTTACCAAGATCGGTGCATCAAGATGTCTTCACTTTATCAATTATTGTTGTCTTTGTGGAGGTAGAGTCTCTGTCTTCCCACTTCTTATGTCTTCCTATTTTGTATGGTCACGGTTAAATTACGTCAATATTTTATATTATTTTTTTAATAAAGATAATAAGATAAAAAAGAATAATAATATAAAATGTTGACGTAACTTAACTATTACCACACAAACAGAAGAGCACAAGAACTCAAGGAAGTGAGATGGAAGACAATCTGCCTCCGTCTTTTTGACCCAAAAAAAAGGACAATCATGCTGTCTAGAATCATTGTATATGTGAGCTTACCATTTGAACTACACTTGCAGCTTTCCTTTTGCTCGTAAATCAAATTCTGAATCCACTGTTTTGTGTGATCACGGTTAAATTACGTTAATATTTTATATTATTTTTTTAATAAAGATAATAAAAAAAAAATAATAGTAATATAAAATGTTGACGTAATTTAACTGTTACCACACAAACAGAAGAGCAGAGCTCACGGGAAGTGAGATGGCAGACAATCTGCCTCCGTCTTTTTGACCCAAAAAAAAGAACAATCATGCTGTCTAGAATCATTGTATATGTGAGCTTACCATTTGAACTACACTTGCAGCTTTCCTTTTGCTCGTAAATCAAATCCTGAATCCACAGTTTTTCTTCTTCATTCTTCAACTGTATCTCCATTGATTTAGTTGAATTAAGATGGAGGGTGACGGCGCTTGAAGAAACTCTTTCATGCTTTAATTGCGGTGCTGACTCTACTGCAATGTGTCAACTCTTCCCCTGCCCTTGGATCCAATAATATTTCTTCAAGAGGAGTGATGAGGTGCATTGAGAGGGAAAGAGAAGCACTCCTTGCTATCAAACAGAAGCTCGTGGATGACTACAATGTCCTCTCCTCATGGGGAAGAGAAGAACACAAGCAAGATTGTTGTAAATGGGTTGGCGTCCACTGCAGCAACCGCACCAACCATGTTACTCAACTTAATCTTGGAAGGGAACGTTTGGATCAAGCTTACTCACTTCAACAGAAAGGAGACCCGCAGGAAATCAAATATTATTTGCAAGGTATGATGAGTCCTAAACTGATTGAGTTGCAGCATTTGAAATATTTGGACCTTTCGGAAATTAACTTTCATGGGGCCCAACTTCCAGATTTCGTTGGTAATCTTTCCAATTTAAGACACCTCGATATCTCTCGTGCTTCTTTTGGTGGTCGAGTTCCAAGTCAGGTTGGAAACCTCACCCACTTGCAATTTCTCGATCTCAGCTACAATGCCTTTGCTAATGTAGAAAATTTGAATTCATGGCTCCCTCTTCTTTCTTCTTTAACATATTTGGACCTGAGTTACAACAATCTTCGTAATGTTCCTGACTGGCTGGAAATAGTTAATAACCACCCTAAACTTACAAACTTGACATTGGCTAAATGTGGTCTTTCTTCACCTCCAATTCATTCCAGTACTCTTTTTAACATGAATTCTTCTAAATCTCTTGCTCATGTTGATCTCAGTAACAACCAATTCACTTCTCCTTCAATATTCTTATGGTTGTCAAACTACAATGCCAGTCTTGTTCATCTTGACCTCTCTTCGAACAGTTTAACTGGTTTAATTCCCCAAGTTTTTGGAAACATGAGCTCTCTTGTCTATCTATCTCTCTCTAATAACCACATTGAAGGAGGGATTCCGCAATCTTTTTCCAGGTTATGTAATCTGCAAGAATTGCGCCTTTCCAACAACACTTTGAATGGACGGCTTTCTAAGTTGGTTCAAATGTTAATGTCTACATGTCCAAATCAAAACTCATTAGAGACTTTAAGACTCTCATACAATCATCTTTCTGGATCAATTCCTAATCTCACAAACTTTTCATCGTTGAAAGGATTAGATCTCTATGAAAATCAATTGAAAGGAACAATACCTGAAAGCATTGGGCAAATGTCTAATTTGGAGTACATGTATTTGGATATGAATGCTTTGGAAGGTGTGGTTTCGGAAAGCCACTTCTCCAATCTCTCTAGATTAACATCTTTGTATTTGTCCTCCAATTCACTGGCTTTAAGCTTCAATTCTAATTGGGTTCCACCTTTTCAATTGGACACTATAGTTTTGGGGTCATGTAAGATGGGTCCATATTTTCCAAAGGGGTTTCTCCATTTTAATCCTTAATAAAGATTGAAATTCAATTAAAACCTTATGTTAGATTATATATTCATTATAGTCCTTTGACTAAATTTCCATGTCAGCATAAATATTAAAATTTATATTTTCTTGTTTTGAAATATTTAATGCGTTTTTTGGGTTCTATAATGCCCCTATTAAATATTTGATTTTAATTTGCTCCATATTTTTTGGCATTGATTATTGTTTGACTTTCTAAAATGATAAACATAATTCAAAAAAATATTAGTGATACGTTACAAGAATTAACAAATACCTAATTCAAATTATTCATTATCACAAGCACAGAGGAAATATAAATAGCCAAATCATATATTTTACATAATCGAATGCACTTAAACCATGTCCTAATGTGCTTAAATCATATAACCTAGTCAAATGCACATAAATCATAGTACCAAGTCAAATGCACCTAAACCATGATACTTATATGAATGCACATAAACCATGGTACCTATATGAATGCACATAAACCATGGTACCTATATGAATGCACCTAAATCATGGTACCTATATGAATGCACCTAAATCATAGTACCTATATGAATGTACCTTAATCATTTAGGTACTATCAATTAGGTCTTATCCATTCGGTATTGTCGGTTAGGTACTATATAGTGTATGTCCGATTAATTCGGTACGATCAATTAAGTTGTGATCTCACATTCTATTTTCTCAATTTGTATTTTTTTTTCATTTATCTCTGGATTCACCTTCAATTTGGCATCTAAAAGCCCTTTTTTTCTCCTTTCTTCCGAATACAACAAGATTTTTGGTTTGTAAGTTTTATGGTTTTTTTTGTTTGATCATGGTTTTTGAGTTTTTTGGGTTCCTTGATTGGAATAACACATGGAGATTTATGTTATAACAAACATGTTAATTATGGATCTAGTTAATTAAGCATTCTTGAAAAATTAATTATATATTTGTTTCTCTAATTGGTTTTAAAGAGTAATAAGGGTAAATAGGGAAACTAAAAATTCAATAAATTTATTAAAAAATGATTAAATGTGACATGGAATACTATAATCTGACATGGAGGACTATTTTTAGTTTTTAATCTTACATACGGTATTATTGAAAAAGCAATCTTATTTAAGGATTAAAATGAAGTTTTCTATTTTCCAAAATGGCTTCAAACTCAGAATCCGTCATATTTGGATCTCTCTGATAATAAAATTTCAGGGTCAATTTCTATTTTGTGTGAAGCATACAATAGATTATGGTTCCTTAATCTCTCAAGCAACAGTCTCTCTGGAGAACTTCCAGAATGCTTGACACATTTAGGCGACCTAGTCATCCTTGATGTTGGAGACAATAAATTATCAGGACACATACCAAAATGGTTAGGGGTTAGCCTTCAAAATTTGTCTACCCTAGTGCTTTCCTCTAATAACTTCAACGGAAGCATGCCGCCTGAACTATGTCGTCTAACAAACATTCAAAACTTGGATGTGTCGGTGAACAACATCTTTGGAACAATACCAAAATGCCTCAACACTTTGACTGTTCTGGCACAGAAAGGAAATTCATCTCCTACCCGTCAATACCAAATAAATGATACTTTAGCTGATATGCACCAGACATTGGAATTCAAAAACACCTTGGGATTTCTGACGAGAATTGATTTCTCGAGCAATAGATTAACGGGGGAGATTCCAAGTGAGATCACGGATCTTGTTGGGTTAGTTTCGTTAAACCTGTCGAGAAACAAATTGACAGGTGAGTTGCCTGTAGAGATTGGAAAGTTGCAATCATTGGTTGCCCTTGATTTGTCAAGAAACCAGATAAATGGCAGAATTCCAACCAGCCTTGCTCAGATACATGGTCTTGATGTCTTGTACTTGTCCTACAACAACTTTATTGGCGAAATTCCAACCACTCGGCTCCAAAGTTTTGATCCCTCTGTTTATGCTGGAAATCCTCAACTGTGCGGACCTCCACTTCAAAACACGTGTTGTGATGAAGAAGAAAAGAATGAGCCTATAACATGGGGATTTTACGTCAGCGTGGGGCTTGGTTTTTTTGTTGGATTTTGGGGAGTTTTTGGCAGTCTGATTTTCGTCAGGCCATGGAGATACTCGTACTTCAGGTTCTTGAATGTCTTGAATGATTGGTTTTATGTGAAGGTGGTTTTAATCAAGCGGCACTTCAGTTAAGCAATGGTAAGCAAATGTGATTTTATTTTTCTTTTTTAAATTAAGCGATATGCATGTATCTCTTTGTAAAGTATTCTTGATTAATTTGGATGTCTTCTTCAAAACTTAATTACTCGTGCTTGTTTATTTTTATTTTCAGTGTCTCCTGAGACAACTTAGACGGCTTCACTTCACAGGATGAGCTTCCACGGGTCATAAGTTTTCAAGTATTGGGTTGTCATAATAAAGAACTTTACTTCTAATTTTCCTTGGCAGACCATTTATTAGTGTTACTTGTTTGTAAGAAGTTTACTGCTACATTTACTTTATCAAGACCTTTCTGCATTATATGTTTTGAATCATTATAGATACTAAAGAAATTCAGTTAATCCTGTCAAATTTACTAAAGGGTTATCTTTTATTTATTTTTATTTTTTTATCCAAGTAGTTTTATTTATATCTATGTCTAACAACGATCAGACGACGTTTGACAAACTAATTATTATTTTTTTCATCAGAAATAATACACTAGAATATATGCTTTATGTACACAAATTACAAAGCTTCTAAACGACATCCTCCCTACCACTGTTTTTTATAACTTTCTATTTTTTCTTTCTATTTTGTCAAAGTAATTCATATGCTCGAATCAATTGACGCACAAGAAATCAAATAAAACAATTCAAATACAATACATACTGCTGGAAAATGACCAAAATAATACCATGGAAAATTGGATATGATAAAGCTTTGGCTCCAGTGGTTTTAAATCCCTTTTAGTTTCCAATGCATTTAGGAGAGATGGGATTACTGAAATTTTGGGGCTCAAAATTAACCTTGTCACAAAATGATAGGTTGCTTTCTTTTACAAGTCCATGCCTTGATTTTTTTTTTTCTTGAACTAACGATTTTATCTACATTAAGGAGTGGAGGAATGGGTTAAGTTTTGCACTGGTCTAGCCATAATAATATGATTCAAATTGTACTTTGGCAAGAATCAAACCTTATACCTCTTACTTACAAATAAAGAGGAATAACACTATACCGTAATACTAAATGACAGTTCATGACTTGATTAAACAATGCTTGTTGTGAATGGTAGTAATGAAGGATTATGTGACACATGTACTAAGCCCGTTGGGCTATAAGTGAAAATTAAAATCAAATACTTCTATTTGTGCAGTCATTTGAGAATTATAGGAAGTATTATGGAATTCATATATTGAAACAGTTATTTACTTCTTTGCTGCTCTTATATAATGAAGCCTTTGTATTACTGAAGTGAGAGATGTAACTTCATATTGTGCAATCAATTGAACACGAACTTCATTTCATGTTTGTTTGGTTTATCATGGATTCATATTACTTCACTTTGTTGCTCTATGAAGCATTTCTTTTACTGCAATGAGAGGTGAAAATGGTTGAAGTGGTGGATACGATATTGAGAATGAAACGGATCAGGTTATCCGATTCAACCGTCTAGAAAATTGTAAAGAATTAGGAAAGAATTACCGTTGTATGGGTCGTAAATGCCAAGATTCATCTTCAGGCAAGAAACCTTGGGGACACCATTAAGGAAGGAAACTTTGCGTCCTCACAAGGTTGGACGAAAGTTATGATCTTTATTCGTCGCAGCATCCATAAAGGGTTGAAGAGTGAACACTTGACGGTTAAAGACCTACTGAGAACAAATAATTCATAAGTAAAAGTTGCAAAACTATGAACAAAATTTTGGGGTTTTGAATCTTACATCGATTTTCAGTAATTTTTTTGAAATCAAAATCGATGTGAGATTCAGAATCTGATTTTGATCATTATTTAAGCAAGCAAAGAAGATAATCAGAGCGACTAAGGGAGTAGAAACTGACATGGGTTTCTATCGGAATACAAGAAAAAAAGGCATTTCAATTGTCGTGCGAACAGAACTGAGAAGTTCGGGGCGGAAGGGGGCATCGGATGTGGTGTGCCGGTCCCAAGGATGATTGAGAAGAAGGGGTGGCCCCATTTTTAATCTTTTATTTTGTTTAATAATTTTTATTAATTAAATATCACAATTTATTCACATTGTGAAAATTGGCATCCACGTTAACAAAAATGTGGCTATATTTTAACATGTCATCACTTAATAGTTAATTTAACAAATTATGTGATCGATGTATGATATTGCAACCAAATCATATGTTTGTGTAGTAAATTGTGATATTTCAAAGATAAGGTACGAGTTTGAAATAGTACTCAAACTTGAGGTACCCAAACACCAAAATAACAAACATTTGGTTAGGTGGATAACCGGTGCTTATTGCATGTTTCATGAAGCATTTCAAGTGCTTTTCTAAAATTCACTTACATATTTACAAAGAATTAGTTCAAAAAAAAAAAAAAAACTCATGAGAAAAACTTTCAGCAATTTTAAAAACACCTTCATAGGATTTTTAAAAACACATTCGAACGATTCATAAATTGTTTTGAATTTGAGTGCTTTTTGTGATGATGATTCTTTAAGAAATATCTAAAAGCTAACATGAAAGGCCGCTTAATTGTTGATTGGCTTTTTAGCCAAAATGATTCATAAGATTGACATAACTCTTCACTTTGGTCTCTAAGGTTTAAAATCAATAGATTGGTTTCTAAGTTTGTCCACCGTCAATCATTTTGGTCATTTCGTGCAAAATCTCCATTAAATAATGAAAATAACAAAAATACCCTTAATTTTTGTCAAATCATTCTTTAAGTTCACCTTTAACATGGATATGATCAATGTGGTGTCAAAGACATCAAGTGTTGATTATTTTAAGACAAAAACTTTTGCCCGCCCAACCATATATGTATTTTTCTTTTTTAAACAAACAATATTATCTACACTAAGGGAATGAGGTGTGCATAGCCTCACAATGGAGCATCAATAATGTGGTTCAAACTCACTTTTGACGAAAATTAAACTTAAGACTTCTCACTTACAAGTGAAGAAGAATGTAGGGATGAGAGTAAAGGGCCTTACAAGGGAGGAATTCTTCTGGGTTTGGATCAGACCACGTGTCCTTACGGATCAAGAGACTCAAAAACCACACTCTACCCCAGCACTTGATTTTGTTAGGTTCATTCATCCGGCCTCATTTTGTGTCTCACTCCCTTTCAAAGCACACCTATGGCTCACCATAGGTGATGGCCTCACACAAGAACTTCTCCATGCAACGGCTCTTTTTCTATGTGTGTGGATAACAACCATGTAGTCCGATAAATGAACACTAAAATTTGTCTTATTTTACTTGAGTAATGCTGGGGAAACCACATATTTATACCATATTAGGGTACTATCGCATGAGACAAGTAATGCATGATGTATACAATCGTCCAATAAAATAAATTTATTAATTGACATGACATGTACACTTCACTTGCCACATCAAATGATACACAAATTCATTTGTTCACGTATTGACGCATATGACCACTGAAAAGCAAACGGATTTAGGTCATACTCCTGGACAATTGATATATCTCTTTTCTTTTTTTCTTTTTTACAAAAGGGGGACAACTAGTGGCGAACCACGATTATCCACTCCTTCTGAGCCCTGAAGAGGCTAGTGGGGAACATCTTACCCATGACCACAATCAAGTAGATTCACAGTTTACACTATTGAACCCAGAGCTTTACCACATCAATGTCAGTGACCAAAATTAAGTTTACCCGTGAATGGTGAAGCGAACCTAACTTGTGTTTGGAATAGTGAATGAACAAAATGAGATCACCATTGTTAATTTTTCATAGATTAATGATAATTAAGCCTCCGAAAAAACAAACTCCAAACTACAGATAGGACCATTTCCTCAATTAGAAAAGAACACCAAAACATTTTCGGATCCAAATTATAAAATTAAAAAAATTAAAAAATCCCAACGAACCAAAGCACCAAAATATTTCTATTCAACTAGTCATTATTCATCCCAACAAATAACAATCAAGCATATCTTTTGGGATACTCCACAACAAACTTCCCATCTTTCCCCAGCTGCTCCGCTGCGGCATTGACGTTCCACGGATTACACGCATCGCGAGTCGCAGTCATCTGATATGGAGCAACATCGTTGGACAACCATTGTTGAACATAGAACATGGATTTCGAACATGCAGTGTTAGGCCCCGTGGCAGTAACCTCCACATGATCGCAGTACCACCCGGCGTGTGCACCAAACCCGTTGGAGGTGAGGGTGAGCCGGCACACTGGTGCATCCATGCATGGACCACGTACGCTAAACACGTCCACGTTGCCACGCTCAAAGTAGTCGTAGTGTGGCCCCATTAGCCCCCATGACCTAAGATCCGGCACCCATACAGACCGGCCGGAGAAATCACCGAGTGTCATGCTTATCTTTGAGTCTGTGCCCGCCTTGATGATCGACCCCGTCTTTACATAAATTGTGTACACACATTTGTCCTGCATATATATACGAAATTCAGGTTGCGTCTAGGATAGAGGGTTTAACGAAAACGATTAGCTGAACGTTTAATTAGGTAATTAGCACTCACATGAGGATTTCCAGCTGCTGTAGAGAAGAAGAGAGCGATCACCATAAGGGTCACCGTGAAGCGGAAACTCGTCATTTTTGCCTTCTACTTGTTTAGATGCAGAGATGTGCGAGTGTGAGATTGAGAACACAGAAAGAGGTGGATCACTACCAGTTTACTGAGCTAGTGTAAATGCACATCTATATATAGGGATACTGTTATTAGAAAAAGTAAAATACATGAATATCGCTTATATTTCTTTCAAAACATACATAGCTAAATTAGCCGGTCTTAGAGAGATATCGCCTATCATTAGGGTTGAAGATCCTTAAAAGATGTTTCACAGACAGTACACAAAGGAGACAATATGGTACACCTCCTAAAGAGTGACTGCCAGTGCCAATTTCTTAGTTTCTTCACCAACACGAAATAACAAATTCGATTATACACCTGCTTTTGGCTATCCCACATCGGTGGGGAAGTCAACAATTATGATTTTAAATAGGAATATCCTACTCTAATTAATCTCGAGATCTTTTGTAATAAAACCACACATGATGAATTGGGCAGGTGGTAGTATTGGTGTCGTTAAAGCAGTTGAATACCACCAGACCGTAGTACTGAATAGCTGGTGATGATGTAGATTAGATGCCTCCAAACGTGCACCAACTGAAAGCAATGCATCCTTATTCCTCATAGCTTTTTTGCTTTTTTTAATGGTTGAGTTTCGGCTTTTGGTTTTTTGCTCCATGATTGCATGGCATCTAATAGTAGATTCATCACCTTTAGTATAGAGGTAGAGAGATGGAGGAGTAGGGGTGCCAAAATGGGGGGTTAGAGTTGATTTTGGTTCCTGAAATCGTTCGCTGCTCTTCATAAATGGTGCTCAGTCGTGCAAGTCAAGATGCCAAACCTCCTGATGTTGGTGCCGAGACACTCACAGGTAAAATTTTCTCACCTTCTCCCTTGAATTTCATCTCCGATCATAGTAGATTAGGGAAAAATAGAAGATGACTGTCTCATGTACGTACGTATTCTCTGTGTAGAAGCCTCGAGATCGAAGACGACACCAAGTTCTCAATCCAAGATGAAAAGGTATAATCCACGCCTCTGCAACTATTTGTGTCCTTGATATATATGCATAAAGTCATTGGTGATACATGTGGTAAATTCTGAGTAAAGCTTTGATAAGAGTTATTTATCACTGATACATTGTCTTGCAGCACCTCCTTTTCTACTTATGCTACAAGTACAAGGAATCATGACTCAATTTTGAATCTTTGTGTAGGTGCATTTAGCCACATCACCGACAACTACTACTGCACTTTAGGTACAATTAAACAACCATCATTCTCCAATTCATGAGGAAAACTCATGTAAATTGTATATGGACCTGACTTCTCTACCCTCTCACTTCACATACACTCTCATCCCCTCCTATTTATATGGTCACGGTTAAGCCACGTCAACATTTTATATTGTCTTATTATCTCTATAAAGAAATTAATATAAAATGTTGACGTGGCTTAACCGTGACCGTACAAAATAGGAGGGGATGAGAGTGTATGGGAAGTGGGAGGGCAAAGAAGCCGGGTCCATTGTATATAGATGAAAGTTATTTTATCATGTAGATGCAACTGAATGACTTATTTTATCATGTAGATTCAGCTGCTTTGATGAATTTATAAATAATTTAAAAATTGATGCGTTAAATTGTAGTTACGGATTCAAAACCCACAGCGGAACGCGCATGCATTTTTACTAGAGATAATACTTGGATACTCTCTGGGGAGTACCCAATATACACACTATCTTATGTGGCACAATAAAATAAAGACACTTGGCAAAACTTAATCTTCAAATTCTTAACCAATTATTTAGCCAAACACTCGCTATTGTGTTAGCCAAACGCCCATCTTCATTCACACCAAATACACCGAGATCTAAGCCACCGGCACCAGCGACGGTCCTCTCCCAAGCCAGTGGCCACGGTCTTCGCCGCGCAATCACCTGCAACGGTCCACTACCACCAGGCACCAACCACGATCCTCTCCCACCAGGCCACCACCACCGGCCACGATCGTCTCCCACCACAGACCAGCGTCTTCACCCACCACAATCAGCCACCGTCCCTCGCCGGAACTCATGGCACCTTCATCGTTGTAAAATCTGGATCTCACGTAAGATTAGAAAACCGTGAAAACAAGAGCACCCAACCCCACGAGCCATCGTCTTCTCCGTATGAAAATCAAGGAACCCATATTTTGGATTACCAGATTGGGCTTCTGGAAATGGAATCTTCCACCACAGTTAGATTAATGAAAGTGTTTTTCTGATTGTGTGCTTTGGCGAGGAAGAGGATGAGTGTTTGGCTACAGAAATAAAGGATGTTTGGTTAAGTACTTGGGACATTTAAATAAGGACAAGTGTCGTTGTTTTACCAGGACCGCTCCAGAAACTTTTGAAGTTTGGTGAGGTCCGGGGGTACGTCAAAAAATGTGTCCTCACTTCATAAGAAAAAATAGTTGTTTTTACACGTAAAACATCCATAAAATTATATTTAGAAAAACACTTTAAACTCAGTAATTTAGAAACACAGAAAAACTAATTTATTTTGTATCGAGAGAAGGAAGCAAAAAAACTTCATGCTTACAAGTAGATAGATTATGAGTTTTATCTTCCATTTGAACTTTTAAAGTGTTTTTGTATAAATTGTGAGATGTTTTTTCTTATTTACTAACCTCGTCAATATAAGACTAAGAAAATAATGATATTTTCGAGTCTTTAAGGATATGTATAAGTAATGAATGGGTACCAAATTAAACCTTTTAATGAGACGTCATATGATTTGCAAATTTGGTCTAAAAAATTAGTCTACGCATTACCTTTTGTTGAAGATTAGACTTGAATTAGAACGAATGTTTAAAATAGCAACCCACATAGTTACTAGCTAGTAATTAAAAATAAAGTTGCACATAACATATCGAACTTAGGACCTCTCGTTAAATTTTAAATACAAAAACCATTGCTTCTAATTAAACTTCTAATCATTTAGCCAAATTTTATAAATTTATACTGTTATGAAAAGAAATTTGTAAAAATTAGAATTTAATTAAGCACATGGTGTTTTGAAACCAATACCTCCTCATTAATTTAAAACAACAAAATCACTGATTCTAGTTAAATTTCTTTGTCATTAAACCAAATTTTATAAATGTATACTCTTTTAAAAACGTACACAAATATGTCACACTAATAATTTTGATGCCCTTAATTTTTCTGGGTCCTGAACAGTTACCCTGCCCGCATTGGGCCTGGGCCCGCCCTGTTTTACGAAATTGCATTTTATTTATTTTTTTTTTTTTGGAAAACATTGCTGTGAACACGGAAAATTCCTGAAACGAAAGAGACAAGAACAACGCGCACAAACAAAATATTTGTATTTGATGATTTTAGGTTACAATCTCTCTCTGTTTTGATCCTCTGATTCGATCTCCGTAAGGTGTTGATTTGTGGGATGTGCGATTGATCCAAGGGCCGTCGAGGCTTGATCTTGGATGAACGAGGATGAACGGATCTTCAAGGGCTTTTGAGCTTGATCTTGAAGAATGGTGATTGACGGATCTTCAAGGGTTTTTGGGCTTGATCTTGAAGAACAGTGATGAACGGATTTCCGAGGGCTTTTGGGCTTGAACTCGAAGAATAGTGACGAACGGATCTTCGAGAGCTTTTGGGCTTGAACGGATCTTCGAGGGCTTTTGGGCTTGATCTCGAAGAACAGTGATGAACGATGAACGCTTTCTTCAAAGGGCCGTCAGGACTTGGGCTTGATGAACAGCGGATGAGCGGATTTGTTGATGTTGTCGATCCAAAGGGGCCGTTGGGGCTTGATCCTTGAGGATGAACAGATCTTGAACGATGAACGCTTTCTTCAAGGGGGCCGTTGAGGCTTGGGCTTGAAGGTGGATGATTGTTGATCCAAAGGGCCGTCGGGGCTTGATCTTAGGATGAACGATGAACGAAGAACGCTTTCTTGATTCTTCGGGAACCTGGATGCTTGAGAGCTTCGGAGTTTCAGAGCTTCAGAGCTTCAAGAGTTTTGCCTAATGATTTTTTTGGTTTTTTTTGAAATGAATGAAATTGGCTTCTATTTATAGAAATTTTCAAGGCCTAATTTTGAATATAATATCCCAGATTAAATAAGTCGTTTCTGCCAGGTGTTGACACGTGTCCTATTTGATGACTTTTCCAACTCATTTCAATTTTCGTTGAGTCACACGCTACGTGTAAAATTTATGTAATACATGAGCGTTGACACTTTGATTTATCGGTCAACATTTATTTACCGAAATTTCGATGTCTACAAATGCCCCCACTTCAAGGTACGTCGTATACATGTGCTTGTCACGTGTAGGAGATGCGTTTTGAAGTCCCTTACTGTAGATGTCGATCCAAGGGCCGTCGAGGCTTGATCTTGAATTGGGCTGGAGATTTCTTCAAGGGCCGTTTGAGGCTTGATCTTGAACTTTTGTTTGAAATTTCTTCAAGGGTCGTCGAGGCTTGATCTTGAAGGTTGAAATTGGGCCACAAGGAGCTTCATGTGGTAGATGATATTTGGCTTTGGTAGTGGATGAATCGGCACGTATTTTGTTGCGCTTGTTGACTTTCCACAGCTTTGATCTTGAACTGGGTTGGAGGATTTTCTGGATTCCTCCAATTGTTGATTTTCCACAGCTTGTTCTTGAACTGGATTTGATTCAAATATGGTGAACGCTTGATCTTGAATCGGACTTGTGATTTCCTCAAGGGTCGTCGAGGCTTGATCTTGAATTTGGCCGGAAACTTCTTCAAGGGCCGTTGAGGCTTGATTCTTGAAGGTTGACTCGAACACATGGCAAGCAGGCACGAGGTGAAGGTGACAACCTGTTTCTTTGTTCAATCTTTCTAATTCACACCTGAGCAGTTTGGTCAACAGTATGATCTTCAAGATTGATGGGCTTTTCTTCCAGTTGATGACTTGATCTTTAAGGATTCGATTCAAGGGTGGTGAATCGGCACGTGCAGCCCACAACGCCTAGTAAGTCGACCCAAGAATTTGAGGGTCAAAACAAGTTCACTGTCCTCAGGCAGATGCGACATATTCTCGAGTTCTTCATCTCGGACTCTTTCTGCTGAGTTGACTGTGCATGCTGCATTCTTCTCTGCTTGTGTCTTCAGGCAGATATGGCAGCTTCTCGAGTTCCTCAGTTCGGACTCCTTCTGCTGAGTTGATCGTGCAAACCGCATTCTTCTCTGCTTGTTCCTTCTGCACCTTGTCTCCACATGCTGCAAGGTATCATTTTCACTTGCCTTATCTGTCCTCCAAGTAGATGTGGCAGCTTCTTTGAAAGTACAGCAGCAGTGGAAGGCGAGTACTCGAGAGCAGTGCTAGGTAGGCAATCAGGGAAGGGTTCCAAGCAGTCGGTTCCTTACCCGAGTTTGAGTGGAAGTTCCGGCATATTGTTTTCTTTATCCTTGTCTTTGTAGGTAGGAACAAGGACAAAGGAAAGGATAGGGAGAGTGTATGATATGAGATACTCTTGCTTTCTACCCTGGTGATATGAGATACTTTTGCTTTGGAGTCATTGGCTTGCGGAGGTGCTCCAAGGAATAAGGAACACTGAATGACTCGAGAGGTTTCGTTGGGAAAACATTTTTTTTTTTTTTGAGATGAAGAGAGGCTATGTGTGTCTGCCTTGCTATGGAAGGTGAATGTGGACAGTTATAGGAGGTCCCTTAATACCTGTAAAGGTAGTATTCTTTCACTTGTGTCGGCAACTAACGCGTGATTGAACAGTAAATTTTCACGTGCTTTCTCCTTCACCGAAAATCTTCGACAAATTGCCTGTGATTTGCGCAAAGTTGAGTGTGCATATGACAGGTGATGACGCGGCTGAAAAAGACTGGCGCCTCTTCAATATCTGGGATCGGTGCTTCAACAAATTACCCGTGATTTCCGCAAAGCTGAGTTTGCATATGACAGGTGCCGACGCGTCTGGAAAAGCAAGATGCTTCTCCGATTTCTGAGCTTGCCTCTTCGATTTTTGAATGGCCTCTTCGAATTCTGAGCTCGCCTCTTCGATCTCTGAAATCCCGTCGAGTGCTGATTTTTTATAGAGGCAGGCAGTTCATTTCAAAGCACACTTGAAATTTTGCTTGTACCTTCTTGCACTTCTAAGATCTCGATTTGTCCGACCTCTTCTTTCTTTAACACCTTTGAAAATGTCTGGCCCCTCCGATCGTCGTTTTGACTTGAATCTTGGTGAAGAGGCAGTCCCTTCTTCTCCAGACAACATATGGCGCCCATCTTTCATATCCCCCACTGGTCCTCTTACCGCTGGGGATTCAGTGGTGAAGAATGATATGACCGCTGCGGTGGTGGCCCGGAACCTTGTCACTCCCAGAGATAACAGATTACTTTCCAAACGGTCTGATGAGTTGGCTGTTAAGGATTCTCTGGCTCTCAGTGTGCAGTGTGCAGGTTCTGTGTCTAATATGGCCCAACGCCTATTTGCTCGAACCCGTCAAGTTGAATCATTGGCGGCTGAAGTGATGAGTCTCAAACAGGAGATTAGAGGGCTCAAGCAGGAGAACAAACAGTTGCATAAGCTCGCACATAGCTATGCGACAAACATGAAGAGGAAGATTGACCAGATGCAGGAATCTGATGGTCAGATTTTACTTGATCATCAGAGGTTTGTGGGTTTGTTCCAGCAGCATTTGCCTTCGTCTTCTGAGGCTCTGCCGACTGCTGAGGCTTCAAACAGTCAACCTCCAGCACCTACTCTTCCTGGAGCTCCGCCGAGTTGTGAGACGCCACCTAATCGTCCTTGAAGATCCCCTCTTGTAATTTTGAGTTGATTTGATTTGATTTTTTTTTTTTTTTAAGGTATGTAGAATGTAATTTTATGTAAAAATTCCCAAAAAAATAAATAAAATGGACTTTATTTCTCTCAATGTATTTTTTTTTTGCTATATACATACATATATTATGTACATACATGTATATGTATATTTACATGGTGCAATCCGCACCATCCCACCTTCCTACTTGCTTTCCCTTTTTTTATTCTTTAATTTTTTTATTTTTAGGTATGGTGCCAGATCAATCCAGATTTCCTTTTTCTCTTTTTTTTTTCTTTTTTTTATTATACTTTCCTACGGTGCCAGAGGCACCATTCCTTCTCCTTTATATATATATATTTTTTTCTCACATGGTGCCAGAGCACCAAAGACTCCACCATCCATTCTTTATTCACGTGGTGCCAGACGCACCACCACTTTTTTTTTTTTTTTTTTTTTTTTTTTTTCCTGTATAAATTAGGATGGTGGGTAGAGGAATTTGCAGGGAGCGGACGAAGACGGACGGAGAGCTGGAGCCGGAGGTGTGGAGTTCGTGGCTGATCATTCTTGCTGGGCAGAAGGAAAGGTCTTGTAGAGGAGGACGAGGGCGGAGCCAGCAACGAACAGTTTGCGGCTTCAAGGATGTGGATGATCAAATACCGAACTATCCAAGCTAATATGTCTCCTTCACCATGTCATCTTGCATGCAGACACCGAAACAGACGAAGCTTATGCTCAGATGACACTTCTGCCCGTGTCATCGTTTGTCAAAGATGCCCTATTGAGATCAGACCTTGTGCTCAAGACAACTAAACCTCAACCAGATTTTTTTTTTATTCTTTTTTTTTATTTGACAGCAAGTGATACAAGCACCCATGGAGGTTTCTCGGTGCCCTGACTTGCAGCAGAAAAGATTTCCCTCCTCTCGATGCAACCATCAATCAGGGAGACAGTCCAGGCGTGGACCTCGGACACGAAGTAGTTGTGATCGAGCTTCGAATCTCTCTGCACACCCATTCTCATAAGCTTCCTCTGGCATGGCGGCGATGGCGGTAATGGCGGCGGTAAAGAGCTTCCTGTACCTTTTTTTGGACTGGGATTGTGGGATCAGAGAAGTTTAAAGGAGTGGGCGACTCGTACCTGCCATAACTGCTACAAGACGTGCGACCTGAGCTGGTGCGGCTACGGTACCCGACGTCCCCCCCAGCTTTGTCCCCAAGAGTTCTTGACGAGCCAGAACAGGACGCCGTCTTCCACTCCGTACCCAACTGCAAGAACTGCATGGTTCACATCCATGGAACTGCTGCCGCATGTGTCACTGGTGTAAACTCCCGACTTGTAGAACCGAAAACTTTGGACGACCTGAAACGCCACGCTGACCGGTCGCACAAATGCAACGGCATGCTTCAATTCTTCTTCAGCACCCAGGGTGATATTGACAGAGTCGACGACATGGACGCCAACATTTTCCGACGAAAATTTGCAAGCACCGTCTACTCCAACGTAGGGATACGCAGCCTCAGTGTCAAGACCCCCGTTATACTTAATGTACTCAAATGCTTGAGATGGCAGCCCACCATTGCAGCCGTTGTTGTTGAAATCTCCAGCACAATCCACAAGCTGCTGCTCGGAGAGGGAGATTTGCTTTCCAAATGTCTGCACATACGCTGCCTCGAGAGCTCCAGTGGTGCTGAATGTCCAGCAAGATCCACGGTGACCTTGATCTTTAACCGGGGTCACTATGCCTTCTTCTTTCCAGTTTTTCGACTCAGGGAGAATGGCATCAGTGAGTTTATGGTTGCCCTTTGTGGCGGGTGCAGGAACTACGGAGTCTGATGGCTCGGATGAAAGGGTCGTGGTTGGGCCGATGAACTCGTCGTTGAGTACGGAGGAGTTAATCTCGATCTCGACGAGGGTGATGGCGACGGTGGGGACCTCGGCAATCATGACGCGGCGAAGTGCGTTGGCGATGCTGGCGTCAGTGTCGCGGAGCTCAAACTTCACGTAGTCGTCACGCATTTCGAAGATTTTGACGCGCGGGAGCCTTTGGTACGATTTGCCTTCCATTCTCACTCGTCAGACTGTCCGAGGGAGAGAGAGAAGAGAGTTGGGCTTGGATTTGGGCCAGTGGTATCCGGCTGCATCGATTGAGATGAAGATGATGATGGCACTGGGCCGGCCCATGGCATTTGGTGAGTTTGGTGAGAGCTGGACCTAGGCCCGCTATATAAAAATATATATTATATATAATTTTTGTTGTTGTTGTTGTTTTTTTTTTTTTTTTTTTTGTAAATACATAATAACATATGTATTCATTTTTTCCCTTTTTGTAATAAAATTGACTCTATTTAATAAAACACTTTTTTTTTATTTTGATGTGACTGAACTCGAAAAATTGAACATTCGAGCTGCCTACGTACCCCTCCAAAGAAGAGATCAAGTCGTAACGTAGTTCAAATACATACATATTTTTGGTATTTTCTTTTTGTGCCGTTTGCAGTTTTAACTCATGCAGGCAAGGAGTGTTGGTGTCGTTTGCAGTTTCAACTCGTGCAGACAAGGAGCATTTGGTGCCGTGTTGCAGTTTCAGCTCGTGCAGGCAAGGAGCAGTTGGTGTTGCCTTTTATGCTCATGCAGACCAGGAGCTTAGTGTCATGCAGTTTAGGCTCGTGCGGGCGAGGAGCTTTGTGTCCTACAGTTTAGGCTCGTGCGGACAAAGAGCTTTTTGTCCTACAGTTTAGGCTCGTGCGGACAAAGAGCTTTGGTTCGTGCAGTTTAGGCTCGTGCGAACAAGGAGCATTGTGCCATGCAGTTTAGGCTCATGCGAACAAGGAGCATTGGTTCGTCAAGCGATCTGAGAGAGTCGTTCCTCGCAATCTTCATAACAAGGAGCCTTGACTGAGTAGTTGAAGAAGTCCTCAGGAAAGAAATCGCGCATCGTGATGGGGATGGACGATCTATGTGTCAAAATTTCATCATCTTCAACACGTTCATGTTGCTTTGAAGGTTGACAAAAGCTGCTTTGCCCCCTTTCCGATTGGCAGACTTGTGGAGGAGACGTATGCTTCTTGTGCAATTTCTTAGGAGTGACTTGAGTCCATCCTTCAATTTTGCTTGTCTTGGAGGATGCCCCCAGCGGTTGAGGTGAAAACTTTGAGTCGGAAGAGCCAGAAGTGAAGGTGGTATAGTTTGACTTCGCCACTTCGTCAAGATCTAGCTCGATGATTCCTTTCTGAGCCAGCTTTATGATGAGATCTTTTAGCATGAAACATTTTTCTGTCGGATGACTGATGAAGCGGTGAAATTTACAGTACCTTGGACTGTCGGTGCGATTCATCTCTTTTGGCCGTTTGCACTCAGGCAAGTCGATCACCTTCTTTTCCAGCAAGTCTTCTAACATGGCAACCACATCAGAGTCGGGGAATGGATAAGTTTTCTCCTCAAGCTCCTTCAAAGTGTGTCTACGCATCTCTTGATCACGAAAGCCTTCGGCTTGAATCACCTTGCCTCGTGTAGGGATTTTGACGGGAGGTGTGTTGACCGTCATTGCTTCCTTGGTGGGTTTCCACGTAGCCTTCTCCACCTTTGGCCCAAGAACTTTGTCATTTTTGTAGTCGGCGATCGGTTCCTTCTTCCCATAATGGGCGATGCTCAACTCCATGTCATGGGCGCGAGTGGCCAATTCCTCGAAAGTCCGTGGTTTAATGCCTTGAATGATGTATTGCAAACCCCATTGCATGCCTTGGATGCACATCTCGATTGAAGAGGTTTCCGAGAGCCTGTCTTTACAGTCGAGGCTTAGAGTGCGCCATCTGTTGATGTAGTCAATGACTGGCTCGTCCTTCCACTGTTTTGTGCTCGTTAGCTCTAACATGCTCACAGTGCGGCGGGTGGTGTAGAAGCGGTTGAGGAATTCCCGCTCCAATTGCTCCCAGCTGTTGATGGATTCAGGTTCTAGGTCCGTGTACCACTCAAAGGCGTTTCCTTTCAGCGAGCGCACAAACTGCTTGGCGAGGTAGTCTCCCTCCGTCCCCGCGTTGTTGCAAGTTTCGACGAAATGTGCAACGTGCTGCTTTGGGTTTCCTTTTCCATCAAACTGCATGAACTTTGGTGGTTGATAACCCCTTGGCATCTTTAGAGCATCAATCTTCTTGGAATAGGGCTTCGAGTAGAACAAGGAGGTATGTAAGCTCCCTTCGTACTGTGCCTTGATGGTGTTAGTGATCATCTCCTGTAGCTGCTGGATAGAAAGAGATCCCATGAGTGCCGTTGCTTGGTCTGGCTCCGGCTTCCCATCGATTTTCTTCACCGGGGGTTCTTCGTCTCCGCCAGCTCCTCCCTTTAGTGGATCATCCTCTGGGTCGGGTTTATCGTCGTCTTGCGCCTCCAGTCGGTTGACTAGTGCTGCAATTTGCAAGTCTTTTTCTTCCACAGTTCGGGTTAGCCTTGCGATTGCTTCATTCATTTGAGCCAGCTGTTCTTCGATGGAGGTAACGCCGATGGTCATGACTTGTGCAACCAATAAACGTGACTTTCCTTTAGACATCCAGGATGCTGATGAAGAACGTTGTTGGCTGTTTTGGGGTGTCATCTTGTGTGCCTCAGCAGCATGCTTCGGTGCCCCCAGCGAGGTCAGGTTGATGACAGACTCACACCTTTGATGCTCCCCTTGCTCTTTTAGCGGCACCAACTTTGAAGTGGCATGTTGAGGAGCGGTTGTGGCGCCAATGGATTGTCCATTTGCGGCAGAAGTGCTTAGGATCCTTCCCTCAGTGATTGTGAGAACGGCTTGTCCCTTGCTTGATGTCATTGACTTTGAGGTGTGTTTGGATTCCTTGAACGGAGAAAGAGATGAGAGGTAGAGATTGTCCCACTGGGCGTGCCAATTTGTGAACACGGAAAATTCCTGAAACGAAAGAGACAAGAACAACGCGCACAAACAAAATATTTGTATTTGATGATTTTAGGTTACAATCTCTCTCTGTTTTGATCCTCTGATTCGATCTCCGTAAGGTGTTGATTTGTGGGATGTGCGATTGATCCAAGGGCCGTCGAGGCTTGATCTTGGATGAACGAGGATGAACGGATCTTCAAGGGCTTTTGAGCTTGATCTTGAAGAATGGTGATTGACGGATCTTCAAGGGCTTTTGGGCTTGATCTTGAAGAACAGTGATGAACGGATTTCCGAGGGCTTTTGGGCTTGAACTCGAAGAACAGTGACGAACGGATCTTCGAGAGCTTTTGGGCTTGAACAGATCTTCGAGGGCTTTTGGGCTTGATCTCGAAGAACAGTGATGAACGATGAACGCTTTCTTCAAGGGCCGTCAGGACTTGGGCTTGATGAACAGCGGATGAGCGGATTTGTTGATGTTGTCGATCCAAAGGGGCCGTTGGGGCTTGATCCTTGAGGATGAACAGATCTTGAACGATGAACGCTTTCTTCAAGGGGGCCGTTGAGGCTTGGGCTTGAAGGTGGATGATTGTTGATCCAAAGGGCCGTCGGGGCTTGATCTTAGGATGAACGATGAACGAAGAACGCTTTCTTGATTCTTCGGGAACCTGGATGCTTGAGAGCTTCGGAGTTTCAGAGCTTCAGAGCTTCAAGAGTTTTGCCTAATGATTTTTTTGGTTTTTTTTGAAATGAATGAAATTGGCTTCTATTTATAGAAATTTTCAAGGCCCAATTTTGAATATAATATCTCAGATGAAATAAGTCGTTTCTGCCAGGTGTTGACACGTGTCCTATTTGATGACTTTTCCAACTCATTTCAATTTTCGTTGAGTCACACGCTACGTGTAAAATTTATGTAATACATGAGGGTTGACACTTTGATTTATCGGTCAACATTTATTTACCGAAATTTCGATGTCTACAATTGCATTTTATTATTCGTTGTACTGTTGATTGATTTATTTATTTTTCTGAAGGCTGAGGCATCCCACACTCCGAAAGGCAAGATTAATCCCTAGTCAAACCCTAAGGCCATCTCCAACCGAGGGCTGGCCAGATGGCTCGTTTGAGCCCTCTAGCCCTCCAAGATTTCCCAAGATATTAATATTTTAATGAACAGTACATGGTCATATTTGCCTCCGTCTCCAACCGAGGGCCAGAGGGCCAAATGGCTCGTTTTAGCCTTGTCACAAAAAACCGTCTCCAACCGAGGGCCAAAGGGCCATAGGACCAAACATAATTTATTATTTAAATTTAAAAACTACAACAACTTATATTTAAACACTACAAATTAAATTTAAAAACAACATTAACTTAAATTTAAAAATTACAACGACTTAAATTTAATATCCATAATCAATATCATTTTCATCATCCGCCATTGTAGGAGTATAGTCAGAGGTAAACAATTGCCGCCGAGACATAATTTCTTTTTTTTTCCTATCAAAATAGGCCTTACTCATTGGAGTGTAATCCGAAGTGTTCCTTTCCATATTCCTATAAAAGAAATGAAGGAAATATTGAAAAATTTATTGAAGGAAATATTGAAAAATTGAAACAAATATTATAGATGAAGGAAATATTAGAAAATATATTGAAGGAAATATTGAGAAATATATTGAAGGAAATATTGAAAAATATTGAAGAAGGAAATATTGCCAATGAAGTGAAGAATTGAAAGAACTTCACTATATTTATAGAAGAAAAAAATGTTTAAAATAAATTATAAAAAAAAAAAAAAAACAACCAACGGCTAGCTGACTCAGCTAGCCGTTATTTAAAAAACATTTCAAACTATTAGTGTCGGTTATAAACGACACTAATAGCAAAACTATTAAAAAAAAGGTCTTTAATGTTGTCGGTTTTAACCGACAGCAATAAGAAATCATTAAAAAAAAAAATAGCCAGCCCTCCAGCCCTCTCCGATCCCGTGGGGCCCTCCCAGATTCCAGAGCCCTCTGGCCTAGCCCTCGGTTGGAGACGATTTTAGGGCTATTTTCGGCCCTCTGGTCCTCTGGACCCTTCGGTTGGAGATGGCCTAAGGAGCGGAGCCGGAGCGGCAGCCGCCCTCAATTTCTTCTGATTTTCCCTGAAAATAAAATAAAATAGTAAAAATTCTTGCTGTGGAGTTAGAATCTATGGATCGATAAATCAAATTGTTCAATTAGGGTTTTTTAGATTTATCTTTATATCTGTTTAGTTTGTGAACTGGTACATGCTGATCAAAGAATATAGGAACGTCGGTCTAATTCTTCATCATCAGCTCGGCTTACCAGTGTTTTTTATCTTTTGGTTCATGTCAGATTGGGCCGCGTTGCCGACAGAGATTTTAAATTTAGTTGTAGGGAGACTGGAGACACCAAAAGAATTTAGCTTTGTTTGCAGGTCATGGTGTTCGGCTGCAAAGGGTATACAGACCCATTGTGCCGTCACGACAACTCCGATGATGTTGATTTCTTCTGATGCAGAGAATGATAAGTGGCATTTATACAATCCGGTGACCGACAAGGTTCTTAAAACCCAATTGAGTTTGGGAAGACAACTATTCTGTGGGTCTTCAAAAGGATGGTTAATTGTTGTGGATGAGAAACGTGTTGTGTCACTGATAAATCCATTCCTTTTTGGTGTTGGAGGGAGAAGAGATCATGAAAAGTCAATAATTCGCCTTCCTCCGCTAGGCCCTGCAGATTTGAATCGGCCTCCTCATCGTGGAGATTATTTTGTCTACAAGGCTACAATTTCAGAAGATCCAATACTAAATGCCGACAACTGCATTGTTATGGTCATGTTTGCGAACATGTACAAATTGGCTTTTATTCGACTTAACAAAGACAGTAATTGGACTTATGTCCCTGAAACGGAAACGGTTGAGCAAAGAAGGTTTTTTATCGCTGAAGTTGTTACAGTTGAAGAGAGATTTTATCTTGTTGATTATTTCCGTCAACTCTATTCTTTGGATGTTGCTACTCAGTCTGTGTCACCTGTGAAAGTGGTTTTAGGCGGATTTGTAGTCGATGACAACTATATTTGCAAGGAATATCTTGTGGTTTGTAATGAGAAAACAATGCTGATCGTTCGAAGGTGCATGGACCATTATGACGATCATGAGACAAAGACAAAAAGATTCAGAGTCTTTGAACTAAATATCAGCAAGGGTGAGTGCACGGAGAAGAACACTTTAGGTGACGTTGCTTTGTTTCTGGGAAACAACTCTTCAATATCTGTTTGTGCTTCAAAGTCGGGATATCGAGCGAATTGCATATACTTCATTCATGATCATCTTGTGGTTGAAGGAGGCCTTGGACCAAGTGGAGCTTTTGATTATGGCGTCTACAACGTCGAGGAAAAGAGGCTTTTAGAAAATCCGTTCCACGGAGATGCTGGGACTCTGATGAGCAAGACCGATGTACCTCCGATATGGATTCTACCAACTTATAATTTGTAGAGTACTATGGTTTGGTTTTGTTTGACATATGGATCTGGAACATATATTAGGGGTTTTAGTTTGTAACTGTTTATGGGTTCCCTCATAGTCCTGCAAGCCTATGAATATATACTATGTTGAAGTTGATGTGACACAATGAGTTTCTTGGGTACCTGATAATATAAATCAGTCTTCTTCTCATATCATAACACGTGAATGGATACACAGATAATCTTGTGTGATGGTCTTATGGTCATCGTCGACACTTTTCTGATGTCTTTGGACGTTACCAACTTTTCGATTCCTTGGCCAAGGCTGTCGTTGTAGTCTGTCGATGGCTGTGTTCCCATCACTTTCTCAACTCTCTTCTGTTGGCTGCGTCATTAAGTAAGCTGCCTGATACACGAGTCTCGGGCTAAAATTTAGGACACCCCATCAGCTTCAGAATGGCATTTTGATCTAGATTCTTGGTTTTTGAATTTCTTAAACCAAACATCCAAGGTTTTCAGAGATATTTTTTTTTAAAACAAATGGTATTATCAACACGGGAAATGGGTGAACTTAGCCTCACAATGAGCTAGCAATAAAGTGGTTCAAACTCGCCTTATGTGAAAATCGAACCTAAGATCTCTCAAAAGATGTCAAAAATGAAGAAAGCAAGTTGACAGTAATAGACTGCACCAAGCCTCTTCCAAGTTTCCTGGAAAAAAAAGCCTACACCCGCAATACCAAGACTAAATGGGAACTTGCCATCTCCACGTGTTGGAAAATTTGGAAGAGTTGGAAGTTGGAAGATGATGCAATTCCAAATCTTAGTATATTCAAATTGTCGACTGCAAGCGGTTAAGGAGGGTTCCCATCCAAAATCGAGTTTCATGAGGTAAACTGGATAAAATTTTGCGGTTTAGAGAGTAAGGTGACAGTTTTTTTATTACAAAAGCAAAGTTAAAATAAAATGGATTTCTAAAAGCATAGTTAAAAGTAAGCATTAATAAAAAGGACACATATCATTGCCTTATTATACATAATATTAATTATATTAACCACGCTCACACGTGTGTGTGACAAAATTTAGCCTCCTTTTGATTTTCTCACTTGGACAAAACCAATCTTTATCCGTGTCCAAAATGGCATACCAGCAATCTTAGAAAAATGCCAGCAAAAAACCCAATTTTTGGACTATAGTGCAAAATCCCTAATCATCATGTATACCTAGATACAGTTATTTCTATACCCGCCAATTTCCTATAATTATAAAGTAGCCCTATAAAGTATACCCCATATATATTTAGCCCCGCTGCAAGATTGAATCAACGGTCCAAAATCAACCCTCCAAAGAAGTGCTAGGATTTCCCACAGCCATCCACCATTTCTCTCCGTTCCAGGTGGAAGCAGGAGAGGCGCACCGCCTCTGCTGATCATCACCGTTTCTTGCAGTTTCGTCGTCCTCCTCCTCCTCCTCCTTCACCATCTGTGCATAATTTCCACACAAAAAAATGTAATTAGTTTAATTTAATAAGATAATTAGGGCTGAGGAAATGATCAATTAAGAAGGAGAAGGGGGTGAGAGACGTACACGTGGCAGATGATGGTGGTGTCTTCTGTGGTAGGTGGTGAGCGTAGTGATAGCTTCACAGCTGGTTTGGGGATTAGGGTTAGGGTTCGGTGCTGTTGTTGCAGGGAGCTCGTTGAGGTTTATGAGTAGGGTTTTACTGATGGTGACGGTAGTGGAACTCTGGGTCTGTGGGGCCAGGACAGGTGGAGGAGCGACAATAGGAGTGGAAGAGGGTATTGTGGTCACATTGCACAATGTGGTGGTGGTCACTGGGCGCCGCTCAGCCACCGGCTTCACAGGGGGAGTGGTGGGGCTGATGAGGGGGCGGGGAGCGGAGGAGGAGGAGGAGGATGAGGGTGGGGTGGGGACCACAAAGAGGTCATGTGGTGGGGCCAGAATCTGGGAAGAAGGACTGGGAATGTTGGTGGGGCTGCCCATGTCTGGCCAGAGAAACGTGCCTTGCGGCTTGCATATCCTGAACCCACTCCTCAGCCTCTCTATTTTTGCCGCCTTGCACTCCGCCGCCGCAGCCGCCTTGTCTCCGCCGCTTAGTGTATCTATTTCTTTCTTCTCACCGGCTGGTTTTGCTTCTGATGGTGGTGGTGCTCCTGAAATTGTGACTGCATCTTCCTTGCTTGATTCGAACATCCTGATTTTCTCCTGCATTAACATTTAAACCTCCACCAATCAATGTATTTATTAAACGCAATTAAGACAGACATAATTAAGATAATTAGGGGGTCAATTAATTACCTTAATTCCGGACAAAGATTGAGTAACCTCCATCATTTGTTCTTCTTTTTTGGTCACAAACTCGATCCTTTCTTCATCCATCTTAGCTATCTTCTTCTCCAGCTCTGCACAAGCCTCCTGCAAAAATGATAAAACCCTATCAAACATTAAGTACATAACTTAATCATGATTAAGAAAATATAATCAAACTTAATCATAAACAAAGTCACAACCTTAATCGGGATTAATGAACCGTAACGATCCAAGTCAACACCGGTCAAATTAGAATTTGAAGCGGTCACCATAGCCAAACCAGCATTCCCTTGCTGCTTGGACTCCTCCATCTCCCTGTAAAAATCCAGTGTGTCACAAACAGTTAAGAGACTAATACCATAATTAAGAGACTAAAAACGTGTTTAACTACCTTCTAATCTTGTCAATTTCTTCACGGAGCTCCTTAATCTCTCTTGCACAAGTGGGGTCCTGGGTGGGACTATCGCCGGGCTTCCACCCCGGCGGAGGGGTCCAGTAAGGATCTTGAACCCCAGCCTCCTTCCGGATGTGGACCAGATCAGCACTCTCCAGCCAATACTCCATGGCTCCATCGGCGTTGTGCCGCCGCCTAAATCTCTCCGTCCCACCAGGCGCCACCTTGCCCGCCATGTGTTTGAGTAAATGATCCAGTAACCCCGTGTCTCCAATCAGCCTCCGAGCCTCCGCTCTCAGCGCCGGCCGCCGTATTGGGTTCCCAATCGCCGCCCCTTTCTCCTTCATCACCTTCAACATGTTCTCCTCCGCCAGCTTGTACCTGCAAAAAACCCAAATCAAGTTAAGAACCCACGATCATTAAACCCAAAAATCGACCCAGTTAATATAATTAACAGATTAATAAACCCAATTAATGATATTACTATATTAATCTCATTCTCACCTTCCTGCTGACCATCTTGCTACTGTGTGTTTAACTTTAGCCAATTTTCTGCTGCTGCGATCAGGAACTGCTACAATATGGTTATTCTGATTCGGAGGCTTTGCTCTGGATTTTGATCGCTTTTGGGTTGGAGATTTGATTTTTCTCTTATTATCGGGATGCTTCCGCTTCCGACTCCGGAGGTTCATCTTCCATGGCAGAACATGAGGAGCAGCTTCTTCCTCTGTCTCCTCACCTTCTTCTTCTTCTTCAATGCCATCGTCTTCGTCTATCACAGTTACTACTTTCTCAGTGAAACCATCATCGCTATCTTCCTCCAGCTCCATAACCTCCCTTCCCTTCTCCGTTTCTTCATCGTCAGAGCCAGAGCTCGGCGACGACTCGTGCCTCCGGAGGTAGCGAATCTGCCGGCGCTTGCCCCACTTCACCATTCCGGCAAACGTGAGCTCGGACCAACACGGACCCTTTTTAGGAACCACGCTGCTAGTAATGGCTCCGCCTCCGCCACTTACTGCTGGGCTCGACAACGTGCTTCTCGGGTGATTCTTCAACGGAGGTTGAACGGCCCAGAAGCTCCAAATGTTGCTCCGATCTACCATCTCCTGTGGTGGGATTCTCCGGTAAAGCACCTCCGACGCCATTTCCGGGGACATCACATACTTCTCGTTGAGCGCCGGAATCTGCTTGGCGTCTTGTTTTGGATACCCCTTTGCGGAGATATGAGCGTGGAGAGAGTGAAGGCTCGGAAACCTCACCGCCACTTTAAACGCGCCCTTCGCACTCACCTGTATACAAATCAAACGAACCCAAATAAAAAACCCCATTTGATTGAAACCAACAAAAAAAAAAAAACTGAAAAATATAAACCAGATTCAAGAACAATGGCGAAAATTATCAGTGGGTTTTTGTGTGTTTTATGGGTAATGAAAATATGAAGTAGTACCATGACGATCCGTACGGCCCTGAGCTGCTCTGGTACTGTTCTTCCATGGAGCTTGGACTGGTCCATTTGGTAGAAACAGCCGACTTTAATGTGCTCGATAGCATCTGCAAAATACCCAAAAGAAACAATCACATCAGGAAAAAAAAAATGAAACCGAAACGGAAATGATCAGAATAAGAAGAAGGAAGACGAAGATATGAAGACAATGTGTTCGATGAAAGTACGTACCGAGAGAAGAAACGGGTGAGGAAGAAGGAGAAGCAGAAGCAGAGGTGAGCAGAGCATGTGTGGCCAAAAAAGTGCTTTTGCTTTCTGGCTTGTTTTGGACTTGCTTCTTCTCCAAGTACTTGCTCATCCTCTCCAAGAAAATCGAAGAAAAAGCTCACTCTTTTCACACTCCCACAGAGAAATCACCACTCAGTTAAAAACCCAAGCTTCCACCAAAAACTCACACTTTTCACCGCAGTAGATACTTATAAAGCCTGCGGGATGCAGACCGATTTACCCAAACAACCTTCTAGAATTTACCGCTGGGTAAATTCGATTCTGCATTATTCGGACGTTCATGCGGGTTTGTTTGTCTGCAATCTCATAAATACAGAAATCGCTGCGGACACTCGACGTCGTTTTGCTCTGCTGCATGAACGCGATAATCTCGCGCGCGGCGGCTTTTTCACGCGCGTTTGTCTTGGCGCGTGGGAGACCGGAGGAGCAGTGACTTTGAATGACGGGCGTTTTGATTGGTTGCCTTACTGAGTTTTTAACGTGGAGCGTCGGATGTGTTTCTTGGTTGTTGGGGATGGAATTTCTTGGCCGTTGGATCTGTTTTGGGTGACGTTGGGTTTGGAGCGTTGTGGTTGTGATGGGATGAAAGTTGTTAGCGGGAGAGTAACGGAATAGAGAGAGAGAGAGAGAGAGAGAGAGAGAGAGAGAGAGAGAGAGGGAGAGGATTGTTCTTATATGGATATATTGAGGTGGATGGTCCCATGAGTCATGAGTTATACATAAATTGGTACGTCTAATTTATCAAGTAACGTTTTATGTTGTAATATCACATACTATGGCTTAATGCCACAACTCACATTTGCCACATATTGAAAGTTTTTTTTTTTTTTGAGGACAACATTATACACTATTTTCAGGGGCCGAGAAGACTTACAGAGACATTTCAGCCTCCCCATGACCACAAGTCTGGCTTCCACACCAGCAACGGGTTTCGAACCCAACACCTCCAGTTTTTAGTTTTAAGGAAGTCTTGTAATCCACTGGACCACCAGCTCGTAGTTGTCACACATTGAAAGTTTGCATCTTTAAATTAATGGACATCCAAGCCAATAACCCAAAAAAAAAAAAAAAGTGGCAAAAATGACACAATTGTTACATCTAATAGTACCGCTTTATTAGAGCAGGAACACATACAAGGATAGAGCAATTAGAACATGAATACTAACCACTGAGAGAAAATGTCCTTAACACTATAGTTTCTTTCTACTCTCAAATATCAATCGGGTTAACAAACTTCTCTTTTGAAATACGTTTTCTATAAGAAGCCCCTAACAATATAAAATGTTAGTTCCGTCATTGAACATGTGATACATGTATTGTAAAACATACCATTGATCATATGTGAAAGTAACAAGTACAATTTATTTTCCTTGTTCTTGAAATATAGTTGAGAGTGATCCACATTCCACACAGTACACATGAGATTTGATCAGTCACCCCTCAACTAACCACGTGTCAAAATCATTGCCACCCACGTGTCCATCCACAAAAGCACATTCCCTCCAAAATGATTGGGCCTGCCATTCTTTTGGGCTGAAACAAAACCCTGCAGGTGGCCTTTCTTCATCCGGCCGCTATCTCAGAGCGGATACAATTCCGACGTAGGACAAATCAAATCAGCAACGTCAAAACCGAAATGGGTTTACTTCCAATTAGCATCCAGAACCGCGGTTTAAGTTTAACCCCTTTCTTAATCACAAGTCCACCGCCCTATTTCCAGTTGCTGTCGGCTCCAAAATTCACACATTTTTCACAGATTTCCGGCAACAATTTCATCAATTGTTTACCTTCCAGGACCCAGAGATCATCAGTAGCAGTTAGATCAGTTGCCACTGAAGCAGCAGCATCACCACCAGCAGCAAAGATGGTCAAAGCCATCCGAATCCATGAACATGGTGGCCCTGAGGTCTCTCTCTCTCTCTCTCTCTCTCTCTCTCTCTCTCTCTCTCTCTCTCTCTCTCTCTCTCTCTACATATATTGTTTATGAATTGGAATTCTGGGTTGTGCTTTGATTTGTATGAGAAAACAGAATCAGCCCAATTTAATTAAGAAGCATCTGAGTTGTTTTTATTGTTTGTAATTTTGACTCATTGAATTTGAGAATTGCTTCTGATCCGTGCTATGATAATTTATTTGGAAGTGAGCATGCTTGTTGATGGATGATAAGCTTCAATTTATACTGTCTGGTAGAGAGTTTATAGTGCCATATCAAGTGCTTTTCTTTTATAATCGTTCACATAAGCCGGCAATTGGACCCGAAAACGATTTATACTCACTTTGATACTGATTATTCGATATCCATTTCGTTAAAGTTTTGCTTTGGTTATTAGTTTATGCCAATAATTCCTAATCGTTTTTCTTACATTTGCCATCTGATCATGTTAGGTGTTGAAATGGGAAGATGTGGAAGTAGGGGAGCCAAAGGAGGGCGAGATTCGCGTCAAGAATGAGGCCATCGGGATTAATTTCATTGATGTGTACTACCGCAAGGGCCTTTATAAGGCTGCTACGCTTCCCTACACCCCAGGTTTTGCTTCATTTCAACAAGTTCACTGATAGAATAAAAATTCATTTTTTGAGATTATGGAGATACATTTCAACGTTCTATTAAAATTTTTGGGTTTCTTGACAGTTTTTGTGTAAACTGTCAACCTCTCCCATGAGTATAAATTTCGAGGAATGATTTGGATGAACTTAAAACAAGAGTGCAGAGCATGAAATCAGATAACAGTTCCCACCAATAGTTTTATTGTGTATATATACATCTAAAACTTTATGGGACATCACTGATGTAGTTACTAGTTACCCTATTTATGTATAAACCAAAACTGATTCCAGGTGTCGAGGCTTGTGGAGTCGTGACAGCTGTGGGACCAGGTCTAACGGGCAGGCAAGTTGGAGATCTTGTAGCCTATGCTGGTCAGCAAATGGGCTCATATGCGCAAGAGCAGATCCTTCCTGCAAACAGAGCTGTGCCTGTTCCTCCTTCCATTGATCCTAAAGTTGCAGCCTCCCTCATGCTTAAGGGTACGACAGCTCAGTTTCTACTACGCCGCTGTTTCAAGGTAGTTTTACACATATGTACCCGCATCTGCTTTTTTTAATCTCTCTTGAAAATAAATGTGGAATTGCAGAATGTTTTTATAGAGCTCTTTGTTTCATACGCATACTGTTCCTGTCAAGGTGAATATTTGTTACTAATAATACTGGTCACTGCCAGCAAATGTAAATCAGTAAATGAAATTCAGTGTACCGCTGAACCAATTTTAGCTATTGTCCCTGTTTCGGCGACGTAAGCTGAGTTGTGTGTAACCCTTTCATGTGCGAATCATGAGCACTCATAGAAGTTGAGAAGCTTTCTCTCTCTATTAATCTGTTCCTTTAACTATCTGATACATGGGAAAACTGCCATTCCTTTTCTCTTTCACTTTTTCATTTGTGGTACGCTTCTTGTTTCCGTTATGATGGACAGTCTGCGGAAATAAGAAAAGCATCACAGCTAAGTGTGAAAAGATCTGACTCGACCATTGTTATACAGGTCGAACCTGGACACACAGTCCTTGTTCATGCAGCAGCTGGTGGAGTTGGATCCCTTTTATGCCAGTGGGCTAATGCCCTTGGTGCGACTGTCATTGGGACTGTATCAACTAAAGAAAAGGCAGTTCAGGCCAAGGAGGATGGATGCCACCACGTCATAATATATAAGGACGAGGACTTTGTCGCTCGTGTGAAAGAAATAACATCCAACAATGGGGTTGAAGTTGTCTACGATTCTGTAGGGAAGGATACGTTTGAGGTAAGTTATACTTGTCTTCTATTCATAAGCGTGTCATGATTTATCCAAACTACTCAACTCCAACATTGACATCATCTAATAGATAAGTAATGTTTTCGACTATGAATTCTTATCGTGAGTTATTGTTTTCAGGGATCACTGGAAGTCTTAAAACTTCGGGGATATATGGTGAATTTTGGGCAGTCATCAGGTGCGCCTGATCCGGTTCCATTATCAGCTATTGCAGCGAAATCACTCTTCTTGACTCGGCCTAGCCTCTTTCATTACGCTGCAACTCGAGAGGAATTGTTAGAGGCCGCAGGAGAGGTATTTGCTAATGTTGCATCGGGTATATTGCGGGTTCGAGTGAATCACTCCTACTCATTATCTGAAGCAGCACAGGCACACACAGACCTTGAGAACAGGAAAACATCTGGATCTATCGTTCTTATCCCCTAGGTCTGAAGTGAACATATACGAGTTGGTTTGTTCATTTCAAAAGCTTTGCGGTATGTGTGAAAAAAATTACGAATAAGGAACGGAACGTCGCCTTCCGGTTCCGAAACTTGTTATACCTGTTGTGTGTGTGTGTCCTCCACTTCGTTACTTCCCGCAGCCACCAACCCTAGTTATGGCCAGGGTCGGTGGCAGTCCTTCTCTTCTCCCTTCTCCTTTCTCCTTTATCCTTTTCTTTCCTTCTCCTTCTCCTTCATCTTCCATGTACCCCCGCCCAGTGGCCTGTTTGCCACTCAACCCCCTGTGCATCTGTTTTCTTTGACCTCAGTCCCTTTTCCAACTTCTCCCATTTCTTCCTTTCTTCCACTTTTCCCCTTTGTTTCCTTTCGTCTTCCTTCCACCTTTTTCACCTTTTCTCCTTCTTTCCACCATTTCCCTCTCTTTCCCCCCACGTTCCCCAATCCGGATCGGCTTCATCCTTCTTCGATCTCTCAGTCCTGCTTGGCTCCCACTTTTTTTCAACGCTATTTATCGCACTTCTGCCGGAAGGGGAGTAGAGCTTAGGCTCGGTGTTCACACCACCTCCTTCCTTTGGTTTGCCTTTGTTGGCACTGTTGCTAGTGGGTTTTTTCCCGCTAGCTTCCTTCGATTTGTGGCGGCTACTGCTGTGGTGTGCTGTGGAGGAGTTTGGGGCTCTGTTTTGGGGTCCTGTTGTAGCTCTGTTTTCATCCAGCTTTGGCGCTTTAGTTATTTTGATTTCTTGATGGGTGCAAGGATTGTTCGTTCGGCAAGCGGGTTGACGACGGAAGTAGAAAGCTACTAGGGTTTGCTTTGGTGTTTTTCCTGTTTAGGGTTCAAAACTATGTTTTGGGCTGTTAGGTTACTATGGAGGTCTGTCTTTTTGTTTGTGTGTTTATTGTATTTGGGCCTTCTATTTTGTAATCTGTTGTGTTATAAATAAAGTAAACATTTGACCAAAAAAGAGACTTGCGATGTAGTGAATCTCGATTAATTTCCATCAACATAAAAAGGGGTGATTTGTATGAACAAAACTTAGAATTTTACAAATTGAGAACAATATTTTTTCCCTGTATTGCATATAGTACATCGAATCGACGACTCATGGTTAGATATCCAGCACGATATCCAATAAAATATTGGACCACATGTTTTTAAATATGCTTATGATAAGGTCGGACATTAGTTGAAAGTTTTTTGGGTTGGAAAATGTGCAAGGTGAATGCAATGACGAGATATCAGATCCAAGAATACCAAACCAGGCCTCTATTCACCAACCGTGATGGGTCTCATAAGGAAAAGGAAACTGACAACATACTCACAACCCTTATGACTCTTAGATTATTTTCCCTTATTGTCAAGTCAAATTTAGGCGTTTCATCTCTCTTATCACGTGAACGCACACATGCTTTTCTCGAGATTGCTAGCGTTACTAACCATGGGCTCTAAGGTTGGTTTTCTGAATCTGTGTGCCCTCGAGTTTCTATAAATTAAGGCATCATAGTCATGTAACCACAACATACATTCTTAGAATTGGCTGAGGTGAAATGGGAGATAATCTCTCAAAAGCCAGTGAAGATGAGTGGTAGGGAGGGCGATCTCACAATCTATGTCCATCTTCTCTTCTTCATAAAATTAAGAAAATGACATAACATGAGTTCTCTCCCATGCCACTCATTTTTATTGTTCCTGAGAGTCTCTCCCTTTTCCCTTTCATGCCACCCAATTAGAGATTTTGATTTCAAACAATTTTCATTTTCTTTTCCAATTTTTGTTTTTTGATGTCTTCGTTAAGATTGATACAATTTTGGTAATGTTTATAACTTCTCTTTTAACAGGTGATGGTTTAGCAGATTCAACTAGATTTGAAGAACTTGACCACATTTTTTAATTTCATTCTCGAAGAATTGCTACTGGCACTTCAAAATAGTTATCTTGCATTTTTTTTTCGTTTAATTTTTTTTTTTCAATAAAGAGAAGTACCAGATGACCAGAGTTTGCACACAACACCCATTGACTGCTGCATGGTGCTATTCACCAACACCGTCCGATGAGGAGGCCTCCTTTAAATCAACATCACCAAGATCTCCATCTCACTTTTCAAATTAATTGCGACCAAAATCAATGTAGACACAAATCTCTTGTCACAAGCGTACTTAAAAAAAGTTTGTAACTACCCCAACGTGGAGTGGTTTTAATTCGCATGTATTAATTTACTATTTTACCCCATACTAATTAAGTTAATTTTTCCAATTGTTATATGTAAGGAGGGCTTGATAAAAGAAATATGTATGGAGGGGGAAATTTTGAAATTACAAATGCTTCATCAATTTTAGATTCCCATTCCACACATTGTCATAGGTTCGATTTTTAACGATAGTGAATCACATGATGATAGTAAGAGGATAGCTGAAATGCCTCTGTAAGTCTTCCCGACCTCCAAAGAGATGGACTACCGTAGCTTTCCCACAAACTACAACAACAACAACAACAAAGCCTTTTCCCACTAAGTGGGGTCGGCTATATGAATCCTAGAACGCCATTGCGCTCGGTTTTGTGTCATGTCCTCCGTTAGATCCAAGTAATCAAGTATTTTCTTAGGGTCTCTTCCAAAGTTTTCCTAGGTCTTCCTCTACCCCTTCGGCCCTTAACTTCTGTCCCGTAATCACATTTTCGAACCAGAGCGTCAGTAGGCCTTCTTTGCACATGTCCAAACCACCGGAACCGATTTTCTCTTATATTTCCTTCAATTTTGGCTACTCCTACTTTACCTTGGATATCCTCATTCCCAATCTTATCCTTTCTCGTGTGCCCATACATCCCACGAAGCATCCTCATCTCCGCTACACCCATTTTGTGTACGTGTTGATGCTTCACCGCCCAACATTCTGTGCCATACAACATCGTTGGCCTTATTGCCGTCCTATAAAATTTCCCTTGAGCTTCAGTGGCCTACGACGATCACACAACACGCCGGATACACTCTTACACTTCATCCATCCAGCTTGTATTCTATGGTTGAGATCTCCATCTAATTCTCCGTTCTCTTGCAAGATAGATCCTAGGTAGCGAAAACGGTCACTTTTTGTGATCTTCGCTAGATTGCTCCGGTCATTAGTGTGGATAAGTATATAAATGGATAGAGATAGGAAAGCAAACACAAGATGTACGTGGTTCACCCAGATTGGCTACGTCCACGGAATAAAGGAGTTCTCATTAATTTGTGAAGGGTTTACACAAGTACATAGGTTCAAGCTCTCCTTTAGGGAGTACAAGTGAATGATTTAGTACAAATGACATTAGGAAATATTGTGGGAGAATGATCTCGTAACCACGAAACTTCTAAGTACCCGGAGTGTGGTATCGTCTTGACTTTCCTTATCTGTCTCATAGGTAGATGTGGAATCTTCTCTGGAAGTACTCTTCCTCCATCCAGGGGTGGTATCTGTAACTGGTGGAAGATGCACAAGGTAATGTATCAATGTCACTTGAAGCTTACTTGTAGTTTCAGGCTTGGTCAAGCGCGATACAAACCATGTAGTAGGAGTCCCCCAAGTCGCCGAGCTAGGGGATCTGCTGAAAGAGGTAACAGACAAGGTAAAGCAATCAGAGCTCCGGCTGATTGTTCACATTCTCCCTATCTTGCAGGCAGCATGAAGGATAAAGAGAAGAAAAATGAGAAGAGATGATATGGGGATACTTTTGCTTTTTGAAGAAGTAACTTTCCACAGGCTTATTCTTGAACTGGGCTGGAGGGTTTTCTGGTTTCCTCCAAAGTATAAGGCCGACTGAAGAATTTGAGGGTCAAAACAAGTCCATCAAATCTAGAGTACGTTCGACCCTGCTGATATGGGATACTTTTTGCTTTTGACAGAGTAGTGGATGTATCGGCACGTGTGCTGTTACGCTTGTCTCCACATGCTTCCTTGTATCCTTCTCAGTTGCCCTATCTGTTCCTCAGGCAGATGCGGTATCTTCCCTGGAAGCATAAGATGTTGAAGATGAGTACTCGAGAGCAATGCCAGGGTAAGGGGTTCCAGGCAGTCAGTTCCTGGCTGGAAGCTTGATTCCAAGTGCTGACTGATTGCTCTCTTTCTCCTTGTCTTGCAGCAGGTAAGAACAAGGCCAAAGGAAAAGACAGGGAAAAAGCATGATATGGGATACTCTTGCTTTTTAACCCTGATGATATGAGATATTCTTGCTCTAGTAATATAGCTTGTTTACAGAGGTATTATCGGGGGGAAAGAAAGCTGAATATTTCGAAAGGCTTCGTTGGGAGTGCCCTCTTAGATAAGAGGAAGGGTTGAGCATTTTTGCAGGTCTGCCTGTCCGTTGGGGATGGAGGTCGACATATATAGGAGTCTCCCTAATCATCAAGTAATGCTATGCTATTCCTTTACCCTTGGTCAGCACGGTACACGTGAGGGAGCTGCCAGCTTCACAAGTTTTAACTCTGTCAGAGCACTTTGAAAAAGTGGTCTGTGGTATCTGGAAAGCTGATGTTGCGTGTGAAGATTACAGACAAGCTTTATCCAAGGAGATCCGGCTCTTGAAGTTGGGAAAGTGGTGCCTCTTCGGTAATCGAACAAGCAATCCTGTCGGGGATCTGGCTCTCGAGATTCGGAGAACGATGCCTCTTCGATTTTTGAGAAAGCAATCATGCTGGGGGTCTGGCTCTCGAAATTCGGAGAACGGTGTCTTCGATTTTTGAGAAAGTAATCATGTTGGGAGTCTGGCTCTCGAGATTCGGAGGGCGGTGCCTCTTCGATTTTGGAGCAAGCAATCTTGTTGGGAGTGTTTTCTCGAATATGAGTAAAGGTTGGGCATGTTTGCTAGTCTACCTTGCCACGAAGCACAGAGGTTGACACACAGGGACTTTCCAATTATCCAGCAGTGGTACTGTTCCTTTACCCTCTCTTCGATTTTTAAGAAAGTAATCATGTTAGAAGTCTGGCTCTCGAGATTCGGAGGGCGGTGCCTCTTCGATTTTGGAGCAAGCAATCTTGTTTGGGGAGTTTTCTCGAATGTGAGTAAAGGTTGGGCATGTTTGCTAGTCTACCTTGCCACGAAGCACAGAGGTTGACACACAGGGACTTTCAAATTATCCAGCAGTGGTACTGTTCCTTTACCCTCTCTTCGATTTTTGAGAAAGTAATCATGTTGGGAGTCTGGCTCTCGAGATTCGGAGGGCGATGCCTCTTCGATTTTGGGGCAAGCAATCTTGTTGGGAGTGTTTTCTCGAATGTGAGTAAAGGTTGGGCATGTTTGCTAGTCTACCTTGCCATGAAGCACAGAGGTTGACACACCGGGACTTTCCAATTATCCAGCAGTGGTACTGTTCCTTTACCCTTGTGGGTAATAATATGGTAGCTAGGCCTTCAAAATTTATGTGTCTAAACTTTGTTAGTGTTGTTTCTTTGCTATTCTTTTACCCTTCTTGGTCAGAGCGTTGTAGTGAGAGTTGCAAGCTTCACGTGTCTCGACTTTGTCAGAGAACTTTGGCAAAGTTATATGTGGTACCCATGAGCTACTGTTGCGTGTGGGAAGTGGGTGATTGAACAGTACGATTCATGTGCTTTCTACTTCGCCAGAAATCTCGACAGAATGCCCATAATTTCCGCAAAGCTGAGTGTGCGTGTGACAGGTGCTGACAAGGCTGGAAAAGTAGGTGCCTCTTCGATTTCTGAGATCGGCCCTCTCTGAGCAGCCCAGCTTTTGAGAAAGCAAACCTCTTCGATTTCTGAGATCGGCCCTCGTGGTCTCTGAGCAGCCCAGCTTTTGAGAAAGCAAACCTCTTCGATTTCTGAGATCGGCCTTCGTGGTCTTTGAGCAGCCCAGCTTTTGAGAAAGCAAACGCCTCTTCGATTTCTGAGATCGACCCTCGTGGTCTCTGAGCAGCCCAGCTTTTGAGAAAGCAAACGCCTCTTCGATTTCTGAAGCTTCGTCGAGTGCAGATTTTTATAGAGGCTGACATTAAGT